CAGAATCACCTGGGGAGCTTCTTAAAACTCCCAGCTCCCCAGCCTCACCCCACACCAAAATTTCTGGGTATGAGATCCAGACCTCAGTAGGTTTCGTTCCCCCAGATGATTCCAGGGTGCACAAAAATGAGCACTGCTGAGCTAAGTAACACCCTGCGCTCTGTCTTAAGGGGCTGCTCTCAGACGGAGCTCTCTTGTCAGGAGGCCCTTCCTCTCCCACAGCTCTGGCAGCAATGGGACTGGAGTATGTGGGCCACTTGCTTTTTTCACTGCCACCTCCAAACACTAGATCTCTCTCCCCCAACATCTCATGCTTTTCCAAACTTCAGGCAGTTCCTGGAACACATGGGGACCTCTTCGCATGCCTGTTCCTTTGCATTTTCTTTTTCTCTACAGTAAATCTCTGAATGCCTCAATCATCTAAAAAGAAAAGTTATCTTGTTTCTGTAAAGCTCATTTTAGCTCTGACCAGTGTGCTCGCTGGTTAGAGCATCAGCCCCAGCACCGAAGGGTTTCAGGTTTGATCCCCAGTCAACAGCATGTACCTGGGTTGCAGGTTTGATCCCCAGCCCCACTTGGGGTGCATTCAGGAAGCAACTAATCAATGTATCTCTCACATCAATGTTTTTCTCTTCCCTCCTTCTCCTTCTCCTTCTCCTCCTTCTCCTTCTCCTCTCCTTCTTTTCTCTCTCATATTGATGTTTCTCTCTCTCCCTCGTTCCCTCCTTCCCTTCCTTCCCCTTCCTTCCCTCTCTCCCTCCCGTCCTCTCTCTAAAAATAAATGGAAAAAAATATCCCTGGGTGAGGATTAACAAAGAAAAAACTTTTAAAAATAAAACTCATTTCATTGGTCACCTCATCCCTTCCATGAAACCCTCCTCTGTCTCTCAAAGCTTCAAAGTATTGATAAAGTGCTTCCTTCATAATGCTTTCTTCTTATAATGCTACTTTAGTACTCATCAGACTGCTGGTGAGGAGCACCTGCCATTATAAGGTGAGCCATTAGTGATATAAATAGGAAAATTCTGAGCACATTAGTCTACAGGGAGCCCAGATTCATCAAATGTGGTGCTAATATAAAATTGAACAGATTATGCTTTGTATCAAAAAAATCTTTTCTTTAGTAAAGATAATTACATTGAAGCTGCAGCTCTATTACAATTGCCATAAGAAATTTGGCATGAGATCAACACTATTAAAGGGATTTAGCTCCTGAAGTACTAACTAGGCCCTTAGCAGAGAACTGACCTATACCTATAGGACAAGCACCAGTTCTGTAGATGGCATTTCATTTAGTTTATATGCACACAGTGAGCTAATAAGCTTAACTAACTCTCATTTTAACACTGCTCCCTATGAAACAGTTCACTTTAATCACCTTTTAGTCGTTTATGCTATGAATCAGTCTCTTAAAAAAAAAAGAGTGTGTCACCTCAGCTGAGCCAAAATAACATGCCCTGTCTCTAGCCTGTCCACAGGAAAATGGGGACACCAACCATTTGATTCTTCACACAGTCACTGGGTCCTTCTTGATCTTACCTACAGTATGAAAAATAAAAAGATCTGTTTCTCTGAATTTATTCCTTTTCCTAACTCCAGGGCCCCATTTGTATAACGCAATCCAGATGTTCATATCACAGTGGTGCTTAGTGTAAGTAGAGGCCAGCTAAACTGTGTTTTATGCTGAAAACCTATACTCATCTCTCTCACTTAATAACAGTGGTGATATACTTTTGGTATATGTAGAAATGATCTAAATATACCTTTGTGCACACAGCTGCAAACATATAAACTCTTTTTTTAATCCTCACCTGAGGATATTTTTCCATTGATTTTAGAGAGTGGAAGAGAGAGGGAAAGACAGAAAGAAATACTGATGTGAGAGAAACACATCCATTGGTTGCCTCCTGCATGCACCCCAACTAAGGCCCGGGGTCACAGAGGAGCCTGCAACTGAGGTACGTGCACTTGACCAGAACTGAACTCGGACCCTTAGGTCCGAAGGCCAAGGCTCTATCCACGAGCCAAACCAGCTAGGGCCAAACTCTTTTCTCTTATATACTTAAAACCTGGAAGTACATCACTGATGGGCCACATAGTTTGTAAAAGTGTTTCTTTCTAGTAAATAAAACATTTTCTTATTTATTACAACCTAGTTTTGCCCATTTAGTAATAACATGAAAATTTAAAATCCAAAAATAATTCGAAAACATTTCTCTTAATCTCTTCTCAGAACTACTAATGAACAATGATTTTAATTATACCAGGCTTCCTGGTTTCTCCCCTAGTTTAAGCCCCATAAAAGAAATATCTGTAGTTAAGTACAACACGGGGCAAAAGTAGGTTTACAGTTGTGAGTATGCAAAATGCAGTTTATTAGTGTATTATTATTCATTAATTATTGTATTTTTTCCATATGAACAACTGCAAACCTACTTTTCCTCCACTCTATATATATATTTTTTTCCCAAAGTCAGGAAGACTGTCCAAGGAACATTCAAAAATATTTTTAACAGCAAAGAAGAATTTAGAGTATTTAGTGGAAAAAAAACTCATAGGAGAGTAAGCAAGAAGAAATAGGAAAGGGAGGAAGGAAACACAACAAACTGAAAACATAACTTGAAATCCCCAGCTAATGTGCAGTAAACTTTCTTTTTCATTTTCTAGAAAAAAACTATGGCAGAAGATATAAAAATTTAGCTTTAATCACATATAGAGATGAGGAGACAGATGAAAGGGGTTTGGAGATGTTCTTACCAATACCTTAAGGCTGGTGTATAATAATGTTTCCTAACCACTAAGCCCTCCGGATATGAATAGGTATTTTAAAAATAAAGAGATGAATGGTCACACAAGCTAGGAAATTGCCAGATTTAACAAAATTGACCAGGTTTCTTTATTGTATGACTTCAAAGCCTTTCACGGGCTCATATGCACTGGGAATCTCCCAGAGCCACACAGAGGCAGCAGCCTGCAAATGTGTCTTACCACAGGGCCCTAATAATGTCTCCCAGAGATCTTTTTATCACAAGTAGTTTGGGGAACACAAGGTGGAGAGTGGGGTGGGGGCTTCCTGCCTGCATTCTCACACACCTGTTTCTGTAGTCTAAGATCTCCATAGTTAGGCAGCTGAGTTGAAGGCTTGGGCTGAGTGCTGGGCTCACTGTTTGCATTGTGATGGGAAATGGAGCAGACAAGGCAGCAGTCTCATACATTAACAGTGACTTGAGAATTCCCAGTTCCTGTCAGATCCTGGGTCACTAAGCCCCAAAGCAAGCAGGAAGCCCACCTCCAGCAGCTCAGATGAGGACTGCTGATAGCAGAAGCACAAGGAGAAGTAACTATTGGCTCTTGCACAGCAGGAGAAAGATAAGGAGGTTGGTCACAAAAGCCCTTTCAGACAGACTTTCCATTCATTCATCCAGGTGACTCCCAAGCCCATTTGAAGGCAGCAGCTGGCAGAATGCCCACTAATTTTGCTGTGACAAAGTCCAGGTTTGCTGTTGGTGCAAATCCAGAGCCTCATCTCATCTAGGTCCTCCTTAGGGGGACATGGTGAAAGCCTCAATTGCCAGTGTTATGGATCACTGTCTTCCTGTATACAGAGACATTCTGACTCCAATGATGGGGAGGGGAGGGATCTGCAGGAGATGGGCCTCAGTTTGGGAGCTGGCTCTACTATTTACTAGCTATGTCACCTTGGGTGACTTGCTTAACCCCTGTATGCTTCAATTTCCTCATCTGCAAAAACAAAAAGGACAATATTAGTACCGATGCCATAGAATTTTTGTGAAGATGAAAGAATGCATTGAAAGCACTTTGCTTAATGCCTGGCCTATTGTAGATGCTCAATATTGTAGATGCTCAATAATTAAATGAACAGAAATTATAACCAGAAAAATGCTTAGGGTGGAACTAAAACTGGGCATTAGATATATAGCAGAAACTCGATAAATACTTATTGACAGATTACCCAACAACATCTCTTAAAGCCATTGCTGGAGTATTGGAAAAGAGGTTCTCACTTGTTTATATGTGGTAAGGAAGAACAGGGCTTTTATTCCACTTCAAACTGAAGCAGGAAATCAATACCTCACAGTATTTACATCTCAAGTTTGAGTGAATGCCAAAAACCATCTAATTCTCTAAAAGGACAAACAAGCGTTAAGTGGTTTTAGTGACTCAGCGAGTCCTGAGATGCTGATATGGAAAAGTATGCTCTGAACTACCCAAAGCAATACGGTAGAAACTGAGAGTACTTACTGAGAAACTGCCCAACATTATCTGCCAAAAGTCAGAGAAGGTCTTTAAAGATAGAAAGTCTCTTAAGCAGAAATGAATGAAAAGAAGGATCTGTTGCACCCTTTACCACACTGCACAGATTGTTGCTTGCTTCTCATTTTCAACTCTACAAAGAATGATGATGAATAAGGCCAGAGTAGCACATATAAATAAGGCAGAATAAATTCATAGGTGAACGAGCTTTTGGTGACATGCTTTCCCAATTCCCACTGTTTCAGCTTATTTTTCCAAGGAAAAATACTATCCTAAAGAAAGCGCTGTGGGCGCAAACCAGAGCACTAACCCCAGGTTAATAAGCATTTCTTTTTAGTTTATTCAGAACTAACACAGCTCCTAAAATACATATGAAACTATACTGTAGGCACCAAGAGTGCACATGCTACACAGAAAAACCATGTCCCCCACCTTAATTAGAGAGATTCCCCATTTACTACTCCCTGTCTGTATGAAAACCACATGTAACCTTCTACAGCCAAGAGTGAACTAGTACACATTTTCTTGGTTGCTTATTGAGGAAATTTTCCCTTTTCCACAAGAGGTTAGGGGACTAGCTAGATAAGAAAAGTTCAACCATTCTCGGCTCTTGGAAACCTGACCGGCCAGTTGTGCAGCGATCCACCCTCACAAAGGAAACACAGTGGTAGGACAACTGTTCTCTACCACCCAACAGTTTACAGAAATCAACATCTCTCTCCTACCTGTGATGGACAAGGTCTCGGAGGGAGCGCAGGTGGTGGAGGTAACAATCCTGACTTAGTAGCTGAAAAGAAAAACATACTGTTAAAGACCAACAAAAAACAAAATAAAACACAACTTCCACTTGTTAACTAGGAATAGCATATTGTTACTTTTTGTTGTTGTTGTTAATCTTCACCCGATGATATTTTTTCCACTAATATTTTTTAGAGAGAGTGTAAGGGAGGGGGAGAGAGAGAGAGAGAAACATCAACATTGATGTGAGAAATACACATCAATTGGCTGCCTCCCACATATACCCTGACTGGGGCTAGGAGATTAAGCCTGCAACTAAGGTATGTGCCCTTGACCAAAATCGAACCCAAAACCCTTCAATCTGTGAGCCAATGCTCTAACCACTGAGCTAGACAGGCTAAGGCATGAATAGCATTTAATATATTTAAATTGTTAAAGTCCATCTAAAGGCTTAATTTTTTAAAAAGAGTACATGCTTTTTCTAATCCCTTTTTTCATTTTTATCCCACCCAATAGTCAAGTATTTATATAGGCTGTTGTAATTAAGAAAATGTAAAATGGTAAGAAAAACCACTCTGATTAAAAAAAAATTGGAGCCCAGCAAGGAAAGGCAGTCGATCGCTCATTATTCTATTAATTTTTTAGTTTTAAATGATCTAGATCCTTTGTTCTCCCTAGCTTTGGGCTATTACACTGTTCATTGGCTCAGTGAGTAGGCTGCAGAAACTAAGAGAGCCAGGATCGATCCCAAGGCAACAATAGTGCCCTGTGA